ATAAGCTACAGGGACACACAGGACAAATGTGGAATGCCAATGTGTTAGAATGGCCCAGTCAAAGTCCAGAGCTAAATTCAAATGAAAATCTGTGTGAAGACTTGAAAACTGATGTCACCAGACCACCTTCATCCAATGTCACTGATCATTGGGAGCTCTCACGGAAAGTAGAATCTCTGGATGGCAACGCTGGTACATATGAACACTAAAAGCAATATTTGCTGCAAGCTATTGTCCCAAATATAAATGTAAACTACATTTTCTTAGTTTTTTAAAAAGATATTTTAAAAATAATAATTTTCGGGTGTTGGCGATTTCATATTTGACCGTTTTTAGAAATGGTGCCACAGAATCTTTCATCCCATTTACCTGTTTATTTGTATCAAAGGAAATCAAGAAGTTTTGCTCTACCTGACGAAATCTTCACATTTCAGCAAGTCCTCGTCGGCTCTGTTCGTTATTCGGCACGATCCAAAAATCAAGACCGTTAAAAAGATATTGCCTTATTCCTCTCAAACCGAGAGTCATGTTTCTTTTCCCTAAAAATCGCTTCTTTATGCTTCCCTGGCAACAATTTAGCACTGCCAAACCGAAACATTCCCGATCCGATCATCATTCGAAACATCAAAGACACACAACGAAAACGGGACATGAAGTACGGGGAGGGCAGAAAGGAGGGTGAAGGGACAATGCTGCCTCATCACCAAGTTATTTACAGTAAATCTTTACATTTGAAAATAGAAAAATGTTTAACTATTCTCTCAATGCTGCTGCTCTAATCGTCCACAAGTTCACACGCCGTGGTTAGAAATGCGTACTTTTGTTTTCCGTGTTTGTACCTATTCGCAAACTTTCATTTTCATAACAATCGCAAAGTTTGTGATTGTAAAGTGACGGTCTGTGGAAAAGTTTGAAGCGCTTCACTGAAATTGAGCCATGTGAACTAAGCCGGCGTGTGTGGAGAGGGCTTGAGGGGCAGCAGAGCAGATTTAGGGAGTCTCCTTCAGGCAAGGAACCTGCTACCTCTGTCGAGCAAGCAGATGCCAATCGATCCCTCTCGCAATGAAAGACTGGGGCGTGTAAATGCCGCTTTGGCTCTGCGCGCGTGTATGCGCGCGTGTGCATGTGTGCGTGTCTGTGCATATGTGTGCCGGTGTCTCTGGGAAGATGCGATGACCTGTGAACTCCGGGCCCACAGGCACTTGTCAGAGCTCCCAGTAACTTAATTCTCCCCAGGTTAGCAACCACACTCGCAGCTCCAGAGGAAACCGGCGAGTAAACAAGGGAAGCAATCATGAATCACAGCTTTCGGCAGGCGATCCGAAAACACTCATTAAAAAAACGAGCTTACGCTAACACCATTACGTATGCATTCATGCACACTCAGGCAGAACCAAGCAATTCCAGCAACATCTGCAGGGGCTTGAGAGGATGGGATACAGTTCTGGTTATTCCGCTTGAGCCGTTCGTGGTGGGCAACATTTTCTTAAGCAAGTAATTGAATTAAACACTGCTCAGTTGGCATTGCTGTTTGCTTTCTTATAATGAATGATTCTACTAATCCTTCGGATGACAGTGAAGGCATCATTTTTGTCCGAGGGGACACAACTCTTCAGAATCAGACTGTAGATATGTAGATTCGAACTAATATTTTGGCACGGTTGGTAACTCTATCTTTAAAGTCATACTAACAGGTTATTTCTTATACGATTTAACCTTTAATTTGAGTAAAAGGAGGCGGAGGACCTGGATGATCTACAGAGAAATGGATGAACATCACTTTTTATGTCCAACCCTGTGAAATGATTAAGGGGAAAGATGTTCCTTTTGGAAAAGCGGGCATTAAAACAGGCGCACCAAATATTTATGCCACCGGTGGTTTCATTAAAAATAATTAACTGAGGATTTTTTTTCTCCCAATGAATGACTGTGTTCAATTTAGAAGTTGATTGTTTTTCAACAATGTTCTCGGAGCCTGCCAACGTAATCAAAGTTGATTTCTTTTCACATATCTTCACCGAGGCTGTCTATAAACCTAAAAACAAAGTCCAATCAACTCGTGAGATTGCTGGAGAAACTGGAAAACCCTCAAAGCCTGAAGGCAGTCGTTATCTGAACAAAACCCAACATCCCCTCCTCTGAATGGATTCTACACTTGATGCCCAGAGAGTGGAATGACACAAAGTATCCGACGTAGCAAACAAATCCACACTCGTTAAGATGCCTTACAAACGAGCCGATGTCCCGAAGCTTATTAACGGCGCGCTTCCCGCTGGAGAACGAGAAGAATTTCTGACAAATTCATCCGAACATAAAAGAAAGTGGCACACAAAGATGTCCTGTCAGCAGTCTCCTCATTAGGAGCGGCATCCAGCTCGCCGCTGTCACCGTCACCCGGACCACAGGGTGCCTTGTTAAGCTTAAGAGTTCGACACAACAGGTCAGCTTCTCCCAATCGAGCCACTGTAACCGGAGGTCCAGCACTGTGTGGCAATGCTGTGCAGCATTCTCGAGTCTGAGCCACAACGGCCTTTGCAGTCGTGAGCGCCCGTCGCCAGAACAGCATGAGTGAGTACATGTGAACCCCCGACCTGTGCACATCTGATGTTAGCAGACGAGCCACATGTCTCAGTTAAACTGTTTCCCCACGGGGCCGCCGCGAACACGGCGCTGATGGAATTAGACTGTGCTCTGCCAGTCTCTGAGGCCCTCTGGTACCTCCTTCTCCACTGATAACATGTGAACGAGAAGGCAAAATTAGCCCCAGAGGACCTTGGCTACTTACTGCTAATGTAATTAGATTATAAATTAGCTTTGCTAGGACAATTAGCACAACAATCCTCTATTTATTAGTTTGGAATAAATGCAGGGAAGATCCAGTTTAAAAATTGACCTGTGCAAAGCGCAATCTATTTTGCCACTTTTCAGCTCTTGTCCATAGCTTTATTGGCAATGCAGAGAAATAATGCAGATTTTACACAAAGAGTGAACACTTAACTTCCTATTTCAGGTCTCTTTCTACAGTCTGATGACAAAACCACAAACCATTTAGGGGGCTGCATCAGTAAAATGTTACAAGATAAAAGTCAAAGGTGATCTTAACACAAGTGCATGTCTACCTTTTCGATTTGTACAACACAACCAAATATAACAGATGAATTATTAAGTTTAAACTGTAAACTAAGTGTATCTCATGAAGAAGTCGCTCACTTTACAGATTTTTATTGGAAGCTGCCAGAGAAATCTTATTAAAGGATGCAGGACAATTTAATATGTAGTACCTTTTTGTTGTTAAACAATACAGGCTGGAGTGTACTCCCAATATTTGTGGGTTTTAGGGACCACAACCACCTGCAAATAATTTAAATCCACAAATACTTAAGATGCCCTCTAAAAACACTCACAAATGCCCATTTTAATTGTTCGAACACCAAAGGCACAGTAAAAAAAACCTTAACACTACTGTTGAATCTAACTTATAAAGTCTTTCTTATCGCCGCTCTTGGAGGTACAGCCAATCAGCACCGAGGAAAACGAATGGCACGACTGGACTGGTTGCTCAGCAAATGCCAACCAATAGCATAACAAGTAGCAATGTGCTCTCTGGTATTTCAGCTTCAAAAGCTGTGCTTTCTTTTGAATATGTCGGATATGCTTTATGAAAACATCTGTGACTGCGTAGCAGCGTTTTCTGCGAACAATTTGGAGTCAAGTTCCACAAGCAAAATCTGCATATACTGAACCATAAATAAGTTGGAATCCGCTGAATTTGAAAGCAATGTCACAAACACAAACGTAACCTTACGACTTCAACAGCGTCAGGCATACTCACTTTTCAATCTGTCCATGCACCGAACTTATGAATGATGACGCAACAGTCATTGGTGTGGAAGTTGTTAGTGAGAGAAGAAGCCTGAGTTTCAGTATCAGTAAGATGTTTGAAAAAGCCAAATAAAGCTCAAAAGTATAATAAGCTCCTAAAAATGAAACTGAAATTTCCACACAGGCACGTTGGCTGTTTGTTCAAGCTGCTACAACAGGGAGTTGGAAATCAGCCAGAAGCCAAACATATCACAGCAGTGATGCTCTGTTGCATCTTTCTGAGAGGTCATAGTATGTGCTGGGTCAGGAAATGTTGGCAGGCGCACAGTTAAAGTAAAGACCTACAAACCATACAGGAAACACGCCCCAGGCTGCCAACCATACTAATCCCTCATATAAGCTGTGAAACACCCACTGCTCTCTCTTAAACAATTGTTTGATCACATTAGAAAGGTTTGTTGAGGTCTTGGTATAGTTGCGACAAATGAATAAATCGTTTAAGGTGAGGGTAGATCGAGACGTTTCCCACCGAAATGCTAAGTTGGATGCTGATGTCGTGTATTTTGAAATGAATGAATCTAGTTAAAGAATGAATCGGACCTTTGATCTTCTCTCAAAAACAAAATGCAAAAATCTGAAGTTAGTCTCATTCTGCGTCAAATACACACCAACAAAAATTGAGAATGTTATCTATTGCTTTCAGATTGCATCCAGTGTTACTGACATTCCTGCCTTTGTGTGTGAAAGAGAGAGAGAGAGAGAGAGCGGGTCTGGTAGTTTATCGTGAGTTACAACTGATATTCTAATGAAAAATTGTAAAAAAAAAAAAAAAAATACTGTAAAAGACACACAAAGGTAGAAACAGCCTTGCTTAAGAGAAATAAAATAATATATCTGGGGATCAGGCTCAAGCTATTAGCTTTTCAGTTGCATCTATTTGTTTTCTATTGATATGCACAGCAATTTCTTCTGCTAAAGTTGCTTCTCAAAGTATTTATGAGGGCGGACAGTGCGGGGCATGGCCATGAAGAGATGGGTCAGTCTCAGTAACTAGGGAGCGATCAGCACGGGTCGGGGTCACAGCTGCCACACAGCCAACCTACATCCTCATGACATCCGCAAAACCTCTACTCCCAAAAGATGAGCGCAGGGTTTTTTAGAACAAGGGTGACGCGTACCTGAACAAATCCGCAGCAGAGTCAGTAGAAAGTAAATTCCTGTGAAACAAGCAGGCATCTCTGGTACCTAATCCAAGTCCGAGTGTGCCGAAAGTCTGTCATTCAAAATCAACTTGTTCAGCAGAGCCCACGGAGGGGAGAGTTCTCGATTTCCGGCAAAAAAAAATAAAAAATAAAAATAATAACAATAACAATTAAAAAAGTAAAATAATTACAAGAGCAAAACAGTTCGGAAGTGCTCCCCTAAGAGTGAATCAAAGTTCAGATGGTTCGCAGACATCCTCGCTGCTGATCCTTCTCAGCACCACGCCGGTTTGCTCAGCTCTGCTCCCGGTGCGCCGCGGGGAATTCCTCTCTTCCACGAGCAGATAACTTCATCAAGTGATCGGATGTCCGAGTGACGACGCCCCCGCTTTGGGACGGACCGGTTGCGGGTCGGATCGGTCTCAGGCACTTTGACGGGTTTTAAACTCCCCTCTGTGGTGTTTAGTGATTCTCGGGGTCTGGCGCTGGTTGGATGAGGGCGCCGCGCGTCTCTGCGCTCGGAGCTGCTCTGGTTTCCCTTCCCACTCAAGAGGCTTTTCTGTTGTGCCGAGGAGATTCCTGTGGGTCAGGCACCATTCAACCACATGCGGATACAGTGACAGGGAAAGGCTCCGCCGGGCTTTTGCTTTAAGCTCGCCTCGTATTAAACCGAGGCTGCTGTAGGAAGTTTAAATAAATATCTCCAACTGAGGTTTTATGGATATGAGGTAGTTAAAGGGCGCAAATGGCGAGTGATTCTCTCCCCACCCCCCCACCCCTCTTTTACTGAGAAGCAGCGACCTAAACTGCTGTGTTGAATATGAATTAGAGGCCAATTAAATCATTTGTTTTCAGTGTCCATCATTATCAAAAGGAGCCTCGTGTGAAATGCAGATTTACCAACTAAAGATGATTAAATATTTTAAAGTGAGCTTGCAGTTGAAATGTGACCTTGATGAATGATTTATAACGTTCTCCCGCTATCAAAAAGCTACGTGCGCTGCGTCTTTATAAGCCTGCAAAAGTGACGAGCTCAGGTGTGACATCAAAAGTGCTTTTTAATGAGCCAGGAAGAGAGTTCCGCCCAGAGAGCACCGGCAGCAGAGCTTCACCTCTTGACCCGTCCGCAAATTATAACGAAATGCAAATGGAAGTTTACAGATCATGTCCAAATGTCACATTGAAGTAATAATCGCTCAAATAAAAATCATTTTTACTCCAATAAACTGGATAAGACTCTAAAGTTAAACTTCTACATCTCAGGCGCAATGAGAGCTCAGACATTTCTTTGTTGTCTGGGGAGGTCAGAGCTCCCTCTACTGGTTGTTTTCCGGAATTGCAGTATAGGGTTTTTTTTGTGTGTGTGTGTGGCTAAAATAAACCACTGCTCTTGTGATTTGTCTTAATAGGTAGATTTCCAGAATAATGGAATCAGGCAAGTGCCTACTTAATGGTGTAAAATGTTTTGAAGCAATTTTAAGAGTTTGTTTGCCAGTGAGTACCCCACTACTTTTTGCATTCTTGAAATTAAAAATGGCAGGTGTATCATTATAAAATCTGAAAAGGAAGCAGTATGCAGAAAAAAGGATAGATGTTAAGTAGGATAAGTACAAATTAAAAAATCTCACCATTTTGTCACCATAAAGCCAAACCTCTGTGTATTTTATCATAATCTAAAGTTATGATACAAGCTCCTGTCTCAAACTTGAGTCTTATGCCGTCTTTGAATCCATTTTTCCCACTAACTCAGACCAATAAAATTATTCCCAATTGCATGACACTACCACCATTATGTTTTATGTTCAGTATGAATTCATAGTGATCCCCACTCTGTATTAATCTATGCATCATCTGACTGAACTTCCTGAATTGTGGCAACTTATGTTTTCCTTTCTCCCAGTTTTCCATAACAGCCAGCTTTGTGGCACGCTAACTAAATAATGTCCTCCCACCTAAGCTGTGGATTTTTGCATCACAATGACTTTAGAAAACCCATGCATCATTTCTGTTCCATGTCATAATTATGTATTGCCTTGTGTTGGGACCTGTATTGCCGAGTCCCAATAAAGTCATTTATGCTCGCTGCGTGGCAAAACAAGAAATGAGAACGTTCACAGTTGTTCTGCGAGCCACATGTCACAGAGGAAGATGCGGTGCCTCTGAATTTTTCCATGTTCTTACTAAACCTTCACTGAAGTTCATTCTTGAATCTTTTCATTGTGCGCTGCTGTGCACCACTTCCAGCTCTGCTCCAAGCCAACACACTGCAGAACCAGCCAGAGAGAAAAAATGGGACATTACAGTCACACCACGAGCCTCTGTCTGCCTTTGTAAAACTATATATTTTTTCTATTCCAAAGTGACTTTTGCTTTTCTTTTTGCTTTTTTCCCCTTCAGTTCTGTTCTGTTCTTGCATTTTCAGCAAACACAACAGTGCACAAATATGTGAAATGTGTCATATTTCTCCTCCCCCCCCCCAACCTTTTGATTCTTTTCTTCACATCTCTATGCCTTTTTCACGCCTATGTTCCCAATGCGAATTGCGTTCGTTTAAATCAAATGTTATCCTCACCATGACTCTGGCAGTTCTGTGAATGACATTGAATTATTGTTCTGCGAAAGACAACAAAGTCCTGCTTTCTTTTCTCCGCCTCTCCATCCCCCCAAACAACATAATTATTCTCATTTGAGAGCATTTTAAGGGATAAAATGCTTTCCATCACAACGGGATATAAACACAAACAAAAGGACATGATTCCACATGTGGAGCTCGCACTTAGGCTATTTTATTCGCTCAGCTTGTCCAGGTGAAACATGCATAAGTATGGTAAATTGGTGAATTTAAATGCCTTTTTCACAATCCACACCCCAAAGAAAAACCTTTATTTATTTATTTTTTCAGAACAGATGGTTGGGGAAAATAAAAAAGTATGGGCACAAAGGCATTCACATCTTCATGGCAACGGAGCACATAAAATGGCAGGGATCGTTAAGGAGCGTGTGCCAAGCCCTGGGAGCTATCGGTTATTTATTTATTTCATTCCAGAGGAGCTATCCAGTTGGTTTTGAGCCAGGGGAGAAATTTGTCCAAGAAGAACAAAGCCAACTCTCAAAAAAAAAAAAAAAAAAAAAAAGAAAAAAAAAAAAAAAAGTTTATGGAATAAAAAAAAAATGATTATTTGGAATCTCCTCACACCAACAAACTTGGCCTTAGTCACCGTTTTACGGTTCTGCTCATGAATTATACATGTGGCGCCTCTGTAAAGTGGCCGGACTCATCTCTTTGTACCTGGCCTCAGGATGCTGGACGAAGATTGTCTGATGTGTGGACACATTCCTACCATTAGGAAGGAATGTGTCAGATTTTCACTTTGTGAATCAGATTCTGTTTCCCATGCACACTCTCCACATCATCAGCGTCTGGCAGCTCTTTGGCTCGGACTCGCCTCGCGTTTTTCTTCACCCGTTTGTCGGCTCCTCCCCTTGCATATGCTTAAGGGTTAACCAAGCATTTGGATCAAAATCACAAGAAATTCTCGCCTTTTGAAAACACACTCTAAGATGGTGATGTAATGTCTGTGCCTTCTGTTTTTTTTTTTTTTTTTTGGTTCCGCTTCTTAATGAACTGGCACTCTGGCACCAACCTCAATGGTCATATCAGGAATAGAGATTTGGAGGGATTTCAGAGGCAAAATCCCGTCTGTCATCTGTTCCCACGATGGAGCACAAAGTGTTTAGCGTTTAGCTTGAAGGAAAACGTGGGATTTTTTTTTTTTTTTAATACAAATTTGATGTCAAACATTTTTGTATTTTCCTATACTCTGACACCCTAAAATAAAATCCAGTGCAACCAAGTGTCATTATTGTTGATGAAGTGGACCCAGATGTAATCTCGCTGTTGTTCTGTTAAGGCCTCAGAGGTTTGCTAGGGAGCATTAGGGAGAAAAGATAAGAAAACACAGCAGAGAGGTCAGGGAGAAAGTTAAGGGAAAGCCAAGAACAACCTTTGAAGTCGTCCATCATCCAAAAAAGAAAATGGGCACGGAACGACTGCAAGAGCTACGAAGGGATGGTCATCCAACAACACTGACAGGTGGAGCAAGAAGAACATTACTTAAAAAAAAGTAGCTATGAAGCTTATGGTGACTTTGGAAAAGGGGCAGAGATCATTGGTTCAGGTAGGAAAATGTTGACATGACAAACTTAAGTCCAACATTCCACAAATCCTAGGAGTGGCTGATTAAACAAAGGCCATAAGAAGGTCTTGTTTGCAGTTTACCTCATAGAGAGGAGACAGTAAACGTGTCTCCTCTATGAACTTTGTGACCTTCATCCAAAACTCTCTGTGTGCAAGAAAGCTAACACCAAACACCACCCTAAACAAACCATCCCTGCTTCAGTAGGGACATGGAAACTGGTGTAAAATCAAGAGAAGGAGGAAAAAGTTATGGACATTTCTAAAAGAAAGCCCGTTCGACTCAGCGAAAGACTTTAGACTGAGATTTATTTTCCAACAGGACGATGACCCAAAACGTACAGTCACAGCTAAGGTGGAATGGGTTTTACATAATCTGAACCCAGTTGACAAAACTTGCTCTTCATCTAGTCCAATTGAGCCAGAATTAGTGTATTTTGCAAAGAAGAATGGGTAAAAATCTGGGTTTTAGATTATAAACCTGATTGAGTCATGCAACAAGCACTTTTAGCTGTATCGCAAGCAATTTAGCTCTACAAAACATTGACTTAGAGTTCTGAACACCACGCTTTTAAGACTTTTACCTGTAAAACATTTTAAAAACCTTTTATCGTTTTCACTTTCACTTTCCAATTATGCACCTCTTTGAGCTCAACATATGGTGAAGTGTGTTTGATATGAAACATTTTAAAGCCTACAAAGCTTCTTGTTGAAGTTCTTAATAAATACAATCCAGCAGTACCTAAACATATGGCTCCACAACTGCAACTGAAGTGTCCAGGAAAGAACATGAGACATATTCGTTTCATGTTTCCTCCATACAGGGGTCAGCACAGATTAAAATCACCGGGGCTAGACTGACAGGAACACATTTGTTCCACCTCAGTACATCCCATGTCAAACCCCTTACCATTAAATGTCAAAACAAGAGGAAACCCGATTGAATTGTGCAGCTTCGGACGCGCCACTTGTGGTTTTAGGGAAGCTGAATCGACATTATGAAGCGTCAGAGTCTGTGACAGCAAAAGGCAACAAAGACTTCTTGCTGGGTTCAATGCTATCCTTCGAAAGACAAATAAAGAGTTTTGCAGAGACAGCCTAATTTTCCAAGGCACTTCAGACTCATCTTGTCGAGACAAAAGAGGGAATTTACATAAACAGGTTCAACAAAAAAAAAAAAAAAAAAGAAATGGCCGCGAAGAAGAAATGCCATCGTGATGGGGCAACAAAGATGTAAAAAAAACAAATAAAACAAAACCAACACTCCAAAATGTTTTTGCTCAGTACATTAAAATTGCATTACCATTTTTAGAGTTATTGTATTCATATGCTTTAATGAGCATTTTGTGTCCAACATCATTCATCAGGATGAAGCACTCAAATATAAAACTCATATTCTACAAGGCAGATGTCCTAACCCTTAACAAGGACTCTACTTTAAGGTCAACACTCTCATCCATCCTTACACAAAGTTTGATCAAGTTCTGCACTCGTTCCACGCAGGTGCAAATCTTATAGA